GTTGACTATAACAGGTTACTTCTTGTTTGATTGACAATGGTGGAAATACTAGATATAGAACATCAAAAAGAAAGGAATTTCATATCCATAAAATCAAAATCCATAATGGATCAACGATTGTTTTAATTTTTTTTTAAAGAATGTTAATAACATACTCTCTAACATATTCTTCTTATTGATTATAATTTTATTAAAAAATTATAAAATTAAAAGATAGAAATATATTAAATAGAATATGAGAATTACCTAATTTTTATATTTTTCAATAAATCTTAACTAATTAAAGAGTATATATTTAAATGAATCTGTGAGAGAATATGCTATTAACATTTCTCTTTATCATTGGTGGTGTAATAAAAACATTTGTCTCATTATTATTCTCCAAGTTGATTAGAAGATAGATGTCGTGAAAAAGGGAGGGAAAAAAAAAAAAGTTGGCCAAGAGCCAACAGACAACTAGACATAATGAAGCCACTACTTTACTCTACCACTATGTCTACATAGCTTGTACTACGGATGGTAAAAATATTACATGTAAATATCGGTCACAAAATTTGTTATAAATTTTAAATAAATAATTAAATGACTATCTACTCAATAATAGAATAAATACTAATAATAAGGTATTTATATTCGTGGATATATGTAATTTAAAATAATCTTAACTATATATTAAATAGTTTAATTTAATTTATTTTTATATTGAATATATGTGTCATAATTATTTGTTAGTATAAATATATGTTACAAAATTATTTTTTAATACAAATATATGTTTCTAAATTATTTGATTGTAGTTTTATTTTATTTCTTATTTTGTATATAAAATTTTACATTTTCTCAAATATCTAAAGATATTTGTAGATATATAAAAAAATTTCTCAAGTGACATGAAGCTACTACCCACACTCACCCCGCCCCTTGCCCTCCTAGTTTGTTAGGGTAAAATACATAAAAGGTGTTTAAAATCTAATCAGTTTGGTTTGGTTTTGAATTACAATGTTAAACTATTCTAAACTAAGGGCGTGTATTGGATTAGGATTTTAAAGGACTTTTTTAGTTAAAAAAAATCTTGCGAATTTTAAAAGATTTTGTAGGATTTTCATGATTTTTAAGATTTTGCAGGATTCTACAAAACTTAAAATCATGATTTTAATGGATTCTGCAAGACTTTTAAATCAGGATTTTAATGGATTCTGTGGGATTTTGTAAAATTTTCGTGGATTTTTGACATTTGATAAAATTTCAAAAAAAATTTCATACATTCAAATTTAAAAAGAGTCAAAGACAAAAATAATGAAAAATAATAATTTTTAGATAAATAATAATAATTCTCCATAATATCTTATCCTTTTAAATAGCATTCACCCACATATTCATAGTTATACTAGTCCTCCAAGCATTAGCGTCTTTTCGCTCTTGCTCCTGGGTTTGAATAATAGGTTCAAAAGTATGAACTTCATTAACTGGTAACGTTGAAGATGAAGGTTCATCTACCGCTTCAATTGAAAATTCATCAGAACGACATTCTTTACGTAAAAAGTAGAAAGTTATGTAGTGTTGCACATATACTAACACAAGTTCTACTTATGTCTTAAATAAAAATGGAGGTACTGACTTGAAAATTGCGAACCTTGATTTAAAAATATCAAATATTTTCTCAATCACATTCCTTAAAGACGCATGACGAAGATTGAACAATTCTTTCTCATTTTCAGGGTCATTACCCTGACTTGCAAAATTTTGTAGATGATATCTTACACCTCGAAATGGAGCTAAAAATTAGCATCAATTAGGATCCAAAATCTACAAAAAAAAATATTTACCTAATTACATATGCAATATATATAATATTAGTATAATAATAATAATTATTATAATTATTATTATTATTTAAAGAATAAGCATTTAGATATATAGAATATATATATATATATATATATATATATATTATTTTAGTTATATATTATACGATAATTTTTAACAATATTTATAAATATAAATTATTCTAACAAATATTTTAACAATATTTCCTCTTTTAAAAAATAAGCC